CCCGTCTCTACTAAAAATAGAAATCAATTGGCCCAACTAAAAATATGTAGAAAAAATGAGCCGGGCGTGGCAGCGCATGCCTGTAGTCCCAGCTACTCGGAATGGAGGCTGAGGCAGGAGGATAGCTGGAGGTCAGGAGTTCGAGGCCAGCCTGAGCAAGAGCGAGACCCCGTCTCTACTATAAATAGAAATTAATTGGCCAACTAAAAATATGTAGAAAAAATGAGCCGGGCGTGGCGGCGCATGCCTATAGTCCCAGCTACTCGGGAGGGAGGCCGAGGCAGGAGGATAGCTTGAGCCCAGGAGTTGGAGGCTGCTGTGAGCGAGGCTGACGCCACCGAACTCTAGTCAGAGCGACAGAGTGAGACTCTGTCTCAAAAAAATATATATATACACAGAGAGACTAACTTATACTTTATAGTTTTATATAAAAAGATCAGATATAGGCCGGGCGCGGAGGCTCACGCCTGTCATCCCAGCACTCTGGGAGGCCGAGGCGGGAGGATCGCTCGGGGTCAGGAGTTGGAGGCCAGCCTGAGCAAGAGCGAGACCCCATCTCTAGTAAAAACAGAAAGTAATGAGCTGGACAACTAAAAAAAAATATATATATATATTAAAAACAAGCCGGGCGTGGAGGCGCATGCCTGCAGTCCCAAATACTCCGGAGGAGGCCGAGGCAGGAGGATCGCTCGAGGTCAGGAGTTGGAGGCCAGCCTGAGCAAGAGTGAGACCCCGTCTCTACTATAAATAGAAATCAATTGGCCAACTAAAAATATATAGAAAAAATTTGCCAGGCGTGGAGGCGCATGCCTGTCGTCCCAGCTACTCAGAATGGAGGCCGAGGCAGGAGGATTGCTGGAGGTCAGCAGTTCGAGGCCAGCCTGAGCAAGAGCGAGACCCCGTCTCTACTAAAAATAAAAAGAATTTAATTGGCCAACTAAAAATATATAGAAATATTTTGCCAGGCATGGCGACACATGCCTGTAGTCCCAGCTACTTGGGAGGAGGCCGAGGCGGGAGGATCGCTCGAGGCCAGGAGTTGGAGGCCAGCCTGAGCGAGAGCGAGACCCCGTCTCTATTAAAAATAGAAAGAAATGAATTGGCCAAGTAAAAATATTATATAGAAAAAATGAGCCGGGCGTGGAGGCGCATGCCTGTCGTCCCAGCTACTCGGGAGGGAGGCTGAGGCAGGAGGATCGCTCGAGGCCAGGAGTCGGAGGCTGCTGTGAGCGAGGCTGACGCCACGGCGCTCACTCTGGCCCGGGCGACAGAGCGAGACTCTGTGTCAAACAACACCCCGGGCTTCCTGTGGTTTATTTGTAACCTCTGCCCCGGCGATCATTTAAGTCCAGGATGGCAATCCACAGCGAGGCCGCCTTCCTCGAGGCCGGGCCTCCACGAGGCCGGGGCTCCGCCTGGTCGCTCGTGCGTCAGGGGTGCTTGTTTTTCCCTCTGTGTCATCGCAGGAGCCTCAGTGTCCCCTGGAAGGGGGACGCATAGACGGCCCAGGCGGCCCCGCCGGGGCCCGCGGCTGCCCGGGAGGCCGGGTCTGGGGTGGAGGCCGGGTGTCGCCTCCGCGACCCACGACAGTCACCTGGGGGTGGCAGTTTGTCCAGATCCCGCTGCTGCAGGTGAGAGCCGGGCACGGGGCGGGGGCCTCGAGGTTGTCCTGGCCGGGCGTGGGTGGGACAGGCCATACAGCCTCCCGGCCTCCCATGCCGGCCTCCACCCTCCCGATCTCAGCCCGCCCGGTCCCTGATCCCCCTGGTTGCTCGATATTGCCACCCGACCCCTGTCACCTTGCATCCGCGTAAGCTTGGTCCCCGAGGCCACACGTCACCTCGTGTCTGGCCTCCTCTGTGACACGTTCGGTCTCGGCCTCCTCTCTGAGGCCAAACTGCACCGAGGTCCCCACCCCGGCCCCGGGGACCCCCCACCCGGGGGACTGTCCCCAGCAGGAAAGGAGGGGGTCGTTGGAGGCTGACATGGCCTCTACTCCCCGGCCTCTACCTACTTCTCCGGCCTCGGCGGCGGGGGGAGGGGCTATTCTGGGCCTCGAGGAGGCCGCTGGTGTCTGCCGACGGCTGCTGGCCTCCCAGCCGCTGCGGCCTCTGCACGAGCTTGCCTTTGGAGACAGGGTCGCGCTCTGTCGCCCGGCTGGAGTGAGCGCCGTGGCGTCAGCCTCGCTCACAGCAGCCTCCAACTCCTGGCCTCCAGCGATCCTCCTGCCTCAGCCTCCCTCCCGAGTAGCTGGGACCACAGGCACGCACCTCCACGCCTGGCTCAGTTTTTCTATATACTTTTAGTTGTTTGGCTCATTTCTTTCTATTTTTAGTAGAGATGGGGTCTCGCTCTTGCTCAGGCTGGTCTCAAATGTCTGACCTCGAGCGATCCTCCCGCCTCGGCCTCCCTCCCGAGTAGCTGGGACTACAGGCATGCGCCACCACGCCCGGCTCGTTTTTTCTCTATATTTTTAGTCTTCCAGCTCGTTTCTTTCTATTTATTTTTAGTAGAGACGGGGTCCCGCTCTTGCTCAGGCTGGCCTCCACCTCCTGACCTCAGCCGATCCTCCCGCCTCGGCCTCCTCCCGAGTAGCTGGGACGACAGGCATGCGCCACCACGCCCGGCTCGTTTTTTGTAGATATTTTATTTGGTCTCTAAATTTGTTCGTATTTTTTTAGTAGAGACGGGGTCTCGCTCTTGCTCAGGCCGGCCTCCACCTCCTGACCTCATTGAGCGATCCTCCCGCCTCGGCCTCCCAGAGTGCTGGGACGACGGGCTCTTTTTAAGCAAGACAAGTCGGGGGCGTCTTGCGCCTGTCGTGCGTTGCCTTGGTGGCCCCGTGCTCGCCGTGTCCCTCCTTGGGGACCTACGATGACAGTGGCCGTCCTCCTCCTCCTCCCCCTGCCGGGCAAGACCCGAGGGCCGTGCCGTCCCCGAGTCCCCGGGCTCGGGGACAAGGGGACACAGGGACCGGCCTCGTTTTCCGGACACTTCGGGGGTTCCTTCCTTGGCGACGGTTCATCCCTTCGTCGCCCCAGGACGCAAGTTCGGGGTTCAAGGCCACCGAGAATCGGAGGCCGGGACGGGAGGCCAGGGCCTCTCCCCTCTCTCTCTCTCTCCTGGCGAGGCCTCGACCCGAGTCCCCCCCACTCGGCCCCGGCAATGGAACGAGAACGATGTCACCTACTTCTTCCGCTGCCGGGGACCCGAGTCCCCGTCCCGCCCGAGAAGACGCCCCCCGTCCTCCGATCCCGAGAGCCGGCCTCGAAATCCCCGGCCTCCTCCGGCGATCCTCCCGCCTCGGCCTCCCCTGGGGCCCAACGGCGGGTGACACAAGTGTGACGGGGCGGACTCGGGAAATTGGCATGTTCGGGCGTGAAGGTCCGAGAAGCCGCTGGGCCACAGCTTATAAAGCGGCGTCCCGAAAACCGAGGGTGGCGGGCGGGGCTGCCGTGTCGGGCTTGGTCCTCGGGGCTCGGGACGTGCACGGCCGGCCGGGCGCGGAGGCTCAGGCCTGGCGTCCCCGCACTCTGGGAGGCCGAGGAGGGAGGATCGCTCAATGGAGGCCAGGAGTTGGAGGCCGGCCTGAGCAAGAGCGAGACCCCGTCTCTACTTAAAAAAAAAAATACAAAGAAAATGGACTGAACAAGTAAAAATAGAAAAAACGAGCCGGGCGTGGAGGCGCACGCCTGGAGTTCCAGCTACTCGGGACGGAGGCCGAGGCGGGAGGCTCGCTTGATTGAGGCCAGGAGTCGGAGGCCGCTGTGAGTGAGGCTGACGCCACGGCGCTCACTCCGGCCTGGGCGACAGAGCGAGACTCGGCCTCAAAAAAAGCAACGCGTCGATGTCCGGCTTGA